GTGAAGCATAGAGATGGTGTTGACAAATGTTGAATGAAGTAGAGGCCTATTTAGGGCAGAATGACTTGTACTAGATCCAGAACTCATTGATTCACTCAGGACATACTTTGTTGTTTTGTTCAGAGTGGGTGGGAGTAGGTATTGATTTTGGACTAGGGGAGCTGAGATCAGCTTTTGTTCTTTGCTTTCTAGGTCATTTACTAGTGTTACCTGATCCATTGCCCCTTTAGACCAAGTCAGAGGGGAAGTAGAGGAGGGGGAGCATAGGAAGGAGAGGGCTGGAATATGTAGATATAATTTCACAAGGGTGGAAGGACCGTGTGACTTTCTCACAGGTTAGCAGTTGGGCCAAAAGCTTGGTATATGTAGATGCATGATGAACTATTCAACCATAGATTCAGCATTTGAACAATGGAAAAATATTGTCCATGTACTCAACCAAACAGTATATTGCATAAACATGGCAAGGGAAACAGTATCATAAGGGAAGCAGTGAAGTAGACATTTGGAAGGGCAAAGAAGGGAGAAGCTGACAACTGAGATGTGCCGAAAATATGAAAGTTAGAAGGGGCTGTGAAGATCTGATTTCTTCTCTTCTGATTGTACTAGTTGTGCATCTTGTTCTCCACTCACTGTTTTAAATCTGATGACAGATATTTTCAATACTTATCCCTTAAAGGAACACTGAGTCCCACACATAGACCACCAGTTGAGTATCAAATCGCCTTGAAATTGAACTAAGCTATTTCTAAGATTAGTTGTGTGTTGCAAACTACCCAGTTGGGGGCAGACAAAACAAACAGATGACTTCTGAATGCTACCAAAGGAATCCTGCATTTCATTGTGTGTTGTTATTTTAATAAGGCAAAGAGCTTTTCAACTCATAATCAGATTCAGACAGCTTGTTCACAACCTCCACAGACTGAATACTACAATAGGGTTCCTTTGCAATTATCATATTTTTAACAACAGAGGACGGAGCTTGGGCATGGGCATGAGGAGTGCTAGAGGCACATATATTTTTCTGGACAGTGTGAAATGCTGTGCAGAAAACATACTGAGAGATTTATAGAGGTACTAAAACTGCAAAAACAAACCCTCTTAATAACATCAGATTGCAGGGGGCAGTGCATTTAGCAAGAGATCATCTTAATTCCCACTTCTCCTCTCTCCCTAAGAGGGGTTACAATGCCTATTTGAGGGAGTTAAATAAAATCAGATACTCTCTTGTTGTTTTGTTTTCTTCTTCTGCCAGAGAATTCACAAAGAAAGGCTCCATCTCAGATTCTAATGCTTCAGTTTCAATACAAGTGAGTAACATCGTTAGGCATGCTCAAGCTCCCCACACCCAAAGAAGCTCTGCCTGACCATCATTTACTCAACTCTACAGGCTTTGTCAATTTTTCTTACTATCCTTTCTTTTCCTTGGAGGATGAATCTAGGCCACGTGTGGTGGCTCACGAGAATGGCTTTAACCTGGGAGGCATAGGTCATAGTAAACTGAGATCGTGCCACTGCACTCCAGCCTGGGTGACAGAGCGAGACTCAGTCTCAGAAATATATGTATATGAGGCCGGGCGCGGTGGCTCAAGCCTGTAATCCCAGCACTTTGGGAGGCCGAGACGGGCGGATCACGAGGTCAGGAGATCGAGACCATCCTGGCTAACACGATGAAACCCCGTCTCTACTAAAAAATACAAAAAACTAGCTGGGCGAGGCGGCGGGCCCCTGTAGTCCCAGCTACTCAGGAGGCTGAGGCAGGAGAATGGCGTAAACCCGGGAGGTGGAGCTTGCAGTGAGCTGAGATCCGGCCACTGCACTCCAGCCTGGGCGACAGAGCGAGACTCCATCTCAAAAAAAAAAAAAAAGAAAAAAAAAAAAAAAAGAAAAAAAGAAAAAAAGAAATATATGTATATGAATCTAAACAAAGTACCAAATCCGGTGGTCAGCCAAAACCTCATTTATCAATTTCTTCTTTCCCTGGAGGAATCAACACACATACAGCTGTCCCCACTAAGGCGAAAGGGAATGAGTTCCCCAGAGCCCAAGACAGAAGTCATAGCAACAGGCCTGGATAAACCTCCTACTTATAAATGTGTCTAGGTTGGCAGAGTAATCTCAAAATGGGACTGAGTGGGTGTGTTAATTTTGAAAAAGCTCCGCATGTGATTCGGCTACAAATTCATATACCACTTCCTCCATGAAGCCTCAAGGTTCTGTCTTTCCCTGTAGGCTGCCTCTGTACTCTGGACATTCTTTTGCTTTAGCACTTACAAAGCTGTTTTGGAATTATTTGTATTTAAGTCTATTTCCCATTAAACTGAGCTGGAGAGCATAGATTGTGTCTTTGTATTTTCAGTGCCTAGTATACATTTTGGTATTAACAAGTGTTTACTAAATTTTTGCTGAATTGAATAAAGATACCCCCCACCCACACACACATATAGAGTAAGTCCTCACTTAATGTCATTTATAGGTTCTTGGTGAAACAATGTACAACAGGTTTTTGAATAACGTGGTTTCATTCAACATCGTTTTGTTATAGTGGTGATGAGGAAAAAATTGGTTTTGTTATATGCCGTTTTGCTTAAAATTGCAGTTTCCAAGAACTTACAGACATAGTTAAGTGAGGATTTTCTATGTATCTATCTATCTAGCTATGTATCTATCTACCTATCTATCATCTTCACTTCAGTCAAATATGGAAGGGGTTGCCACTAGTTAAAGGTCAATGCCTTAGATGAACTGAAGTTTATTCCTCAGGTGGTTCAGTCCAAGAGTAAATGCAATGGAGAAAAATGGACAAAGGACAGGCAGGTGCAAAAGAGGGCCTTAATATATGGCCTAAAAGACAAAAATTTTCCAAAGAACCCCTAAGCTATAGGAAAATGGCTCTCAAACATTTTGATGTTGGGAGCCCTGAAGTAGTTTTAAAATACGTCCACAAACTCCTTGATTCTCCTCCCTTCAAGAGGTGGAGCTTAATTTCCTCCCTCTCCTTGAGCATGGATTAGAACTAGTGGCTCACTGACTGGGTGCAGTGGCTCACGCCTGTAATCCCAGCACTTTGGGAGGCTGAGGCAGGTGGATCACTTGAGGTCAGGAGTTTGAGACCAGCCTGGCCAGCATGGCGAAACACTGTCTCTACTAAAAATATAAAAATTAGCCAGGCGTGGTGGTGGGCACCTGTAATCCCAGCTACTCAGGAGGCTGAGGCAGGAGAATTGCTTGAACCCAGGAGGCAGAGGTTGCGGTGAGCTGAAATGGCGCCATTGCATTCCAGCCTGGGTGACACAGCAAGACTCTGTCTCAAAAAACAAAAAACCACAAAGAATTAGTGGCTCACTTCTAACAAATCAAATATGCCAAAATTGATGATGTGTCACTTCAAAGACTAGGCCATAAAAGACACTATAACTTTCTCCTTGCTGTCTTCCATGGATCACTTATTGTGGTATAGCCAGCTGCCATGTCCTGAGGCCATTCACGTGGTCCATATGGTGAGGAACTGAGACCTCCTTCCAACAACCAGCACTAACTTGTTACACTTGTAAGTGAGCCACTTTGGAAGTTGGTCCTCTAGACTCCATCGACGTTTTGAATGACTGCAGCCTCAGGATCCCAAAGAGCTTTTGTTTATATTATATATATTTATTGATATTTACTGTTTTAGAATTTTTTTAAAATTTAAAATTTATTATTAATTTGAAACTAGCAATTATGGGCCCATTACATGTTAACATAAATATTAATAACATTTTATGATAATAGTGAGAAAAATGGTATCATTTTTCATTTTTGCAAGCTGTCTCTACTGTCTGGCTTGATAGGGGATAGGTAGATTCTCCTATTGACTTCTGCATTTAATATGTTGTAATAAATTGTTTTGGTTGAAGTATATGAACAATATCCAGTTTCACACAAATATGTAATTAGCAAAAGGAACATCTCATAGGTGCCCTGAAAGTGTCACTGGGACTCCCAGAAGTCCTGGAATCACATTTTAAAATAGCTGCTACAGGGAAACTAGGAATCCATCAGATTGGAAGTCAACAAAAGAGAAGAAATGAGGACTTTCCAAAATGCTTCAGTAGGGGAACTCTGTTAAGTTGCATTACTGCCTTCTTTCATCCTAAATTGTATCAGATCACGCTAAGAATTACCATCTCAGAAACCCCTATAGGAAAATGAGAGGAACGGAATAGTTTAACCCAAATCTGGGATGTTACATAATTCCTTTCTTTATTTTCTATCTATAGGCCAATCTCACCTAATCCCCTCAAGGTTAATAGGAACAACTCATGTCTAGCTATTCTTGAGCCAGTGGTAGGGCTGGCTATATGTGCAGTCTTTTCAGGTAGGGCAGTTCTTCTAGAGTTGTATTGGGCTTTTGATCCAATTTCTACCCCTTTATTGTAATCAAAAAAATAGAATGGGGATAGAGGGAACCTGGATCAGGGGAGAATGGATGAAGAGAACAAGAAACAAACCTGGATTTTGTCCCTTGACTGTTGTTTTAAGAACCAGGAACCAGATCCTTCATTTTATCATTTTTAAAAGAGTGCGTAAAGTGTGCAGTGTCTGTGTATGTGTGTGTGTGTATACACATGAATGTGTCTCACCAGCTTCTCTCTGGTGAATTTACCTCTGACTCACTGTTAATAATGGGAAAAGCTAAAAAGCAAGCCAAGAAATTGTGAGACAAGATTGTAAGCAGAAACTATTTTGCTTAATCAATTAAAGATCTTGAATAGGGAAGTCCTTTCCACACATATTGCTGTACTAGATATTTATGAACAGTAAATTTACATTTAAATATGGCTTGGATATAATACTATATCTTTTTTAAAACATTGACAGATGATAAAATTTAATTAATCAAGCACTCTACTCAGAAGAACTAAATAACATGTATTTAAGAAGTTTCACTCTAGTAGTTTTTGACCTTAAAATACAATTGCTAATTGTATGCTGGAATAAAGAAAAAAGAAACCTCTCACCTTCTTCGGCTGGATAAGGTTTCTTCATGTTCTACATGAGCAACTTTTAATACTTTCTTGTCAATAAACAGATCTTCAGGATAATAAGCAGATCTATATTGGCGTTGTTGAGAATGGGCACATAACTTGCCAATCTGAAAAAAGAAATGCAATATAATTATATGATACTTGTGCAGATATGATAGTAGAAAGAAATTCTGAAAGGCACTTCAATTTCTTCCCCCAATTTTAAATAGCAGAACAAAGCTATGACTAGAGTCAAAAAAGGTGATAAGCTTGTAAGGCAAAGAACCATTGGTGGAAAGAAGGCTGGAGACTGAGAATGGGGACCCCATTCTGAATACAGCCTATTCAGAGATTTCCTAAGATAAAAAAAATGGCTTTTTTTTCTATAGTGAAGTATACATTTGAGAGGACCGCCAACACAGGCCTCATGCTATTCATACCTTTTAATGGCATTTGGTATTAATACATATGAAGAAGTTCACAAAAGGGAATTGCAAAATTTAGGAAGAACTGGTGCAGAAGATGAGGGTTGTGTAGCCGGTTAATAGAAGAGCTGCCTCCCAAGCACAGAGTGCTCCCAATTTCTATGAGTATTTTGATATAAGACCCAAGCTAAGGTACTCTGATAAAAAGTGTGGTTGCTCATCTGGCTTTCCTAAAAATGCCCAAGGGAAGAAGGCAAGTCAACCAATCAGTAGCCAGTGACAGGCAGCTCACACCTGTAATTCCAACACTTTGGGAGGCTGAGGCAAGAGGATCACTTGTGGTCAGGAGTTCAAGGCCAGCCTGGGCAACACAGCAAGACCCAGTCTCTGCAAAAAGTAAAAACTTAGCCAGGCATGGTGGTGTACACCTGTAGTCCCAGCTACTCAGGAGGCTGAGGTAGGAGGATCGTTTGAGCCCAGGAGGTCAAGGCTGCAGTGAGCCATGATTGTGCCACTGCACTCCAGCCTGAGTAATAGAAGGAGATCCTGTTTCTAATAAATAAATAAATAAATAAATAAATAAATAAATAAATAAATAAGCAAGCGTAATCACCTATGAATCATATATCATTAAATAAGCTCAGGATTAAAAGTATTTTAAAAACATAATTGCTCAAGAGTCTCCCTTTCTTCCTTCCTCCCTGTCTCCTTCTTTCCTCCCTTCTTCCCTCCCTTTCTTCCTTCCATCTTCTCTCATTCATTCATTCAAAAATATTTATTGGATATCTCTCTCTAAAGCTGACCTCTTTTATACTCATATAGCAATACTTTTTTAAAAATGGTATAATCTTTCTTACTTAGCTCCATTCTACTTGATTTTTTTGGTTTAATTATTACTAGATTTGCTACTTTTTTCACGTTCAAGCAAAAGCCTAAATGAACTTCCATATAAAGAAATATGAATATTAACATTCTTATATATCTCCCTTGTGCCAGACACTATGCCAACGATTATCATCCCCATTTTAGAGATGAGGAAATTGAGGCTTAGGGAGTTAGGTGACTTGCATGAGGCAAATAAACAGCGGACTGATTTGTCTGACTTAGAACCCATTTGTCTGATTTCAAAGTTTATGCGGTATTGCCTTCCTAGCAGATAATGCTTGACCTTCCAGTGGCTTACATTGTACATTGTAGAAAAATATAAAGAATTACCGGTGCTCAAAAACATAGCCACCCAACGTAGCCAAGGTAAATATATAGACTGTAAACTTCAGGAAAAATATTAGAAATATTTGGCAAGGAGAAGGGTTGTATGTTTGTCACTTTTGTATTTCCACGCTATTCAGACTGGATTTTGTGCACTGTTAGGTGAATTAATTGAAGCGAATTGAAAGAATCTTCTATTATCAGCCTCAGCTCAGCACTCTACTTATAAGCCATGGGCTCTGTGTGGTAATCCCAGCTTCTGGATTTCTCAAGATGGTCCTGACAGCATTTACTAAGTTATCTATTCATACAGCTTTGGAAGGCTTTTCATATAAATACATTATTGAATTAGGAAAAAAATCTAGAATCAGAGTAGCATCACCTTCATTTATAAAAGATAGCATCTATAGTTTGATATTCAGATGAGCTATACTCAATGGTTTATCTTAATGGGAATAAAACAAAAGCCGAAGACACTTAAAGACATTCAATTTAGCTTTGGAATGCATGATACTGAATTTTTCAGATGTGCTTATGTAATGCTATGTGACTTGGGCTAATATTAATTTCAAACAAAGTGTGTGCATTCCATGAATATGCCTTAACTAGTAGCAGTCTGGTAGGGTGCTTTAGGTCGGGGCCTACCTAGCTGGACTGGAGAGTTAAGTTCCATTCATTTTCAAAGCATATAATGCAGATGCCAAATAAATGAGGGCAGACTATGTATTACCACTTTCTATCTGAAGACATATACATGTTTACTTTGTGAAAATGCAGGTGAAATTTCATGGAACAAAACCTTGATGTTTGTTCCATTAATGTCTATTATTCTGTGAACAAACAGTCATGTGAGAACTTATTTCACTAGGATCAAAGTATTCTTGGCACATTCAGGAGCACCGTACACATTCTCTTGACCTACACCTGTTCCCAATCCAGCACCAAAATCAAATCTTTCACACATCTTTCACAGTAACTTGTCTACTTGCAACCTACAGCTGTGAAATCTCCTTCCCCATTGAAAGTCAGCCCTTTGTATCAGTGAACAGTATCTGGTCCACAGCAAGACTTTAAAGTTTTTGACCCCCTCCCCCCACTTGCCAGCCCCAACCTACTGGAAAGGGGTGCAGCTGAGGCAAAAGTAGGAAGGTTAAGAATAAATGATAATGTCGCCACTCTGCAATCTGACCTTTCTTCCCAAGCCACCCAATGTGGTATTATCAAGCCAGCTTTCCAAGGCTCTGTTTGGGGTAAGGGGCAAACAATGGTGTCCTGCCAATAACCCTACTCCTCCATCTGAAATGTGCCATATCTTATCAGACAGGCTGCATTTTCTTCCACAAATCTACCATGAAGCAAATTCTTCTCATATACAAAGCATTTGTCAAATATATTCCCTCCTTTGGGCCCTTCTCCCTACATCTTTCACCTCCACACTATGTGAGCTATAGGTGAATATTATGAGCTTATTTTGAGAAGTGGACACTAAAAGAAAACATAACTTACAAAGAGATACAGCATTCACATTAAAGAAGTCCTTTCAGCTTCACACTAGGGAAACGTCAGGCTATGCTGGGAGACTTGAGTCTTATTCTTCAGCAGCCCCTACTGAAGAAGTCAGCCTCTCAAGTGGCATTTTAGAAATCAGTATCCTGCTCAAAAATTTTAGGCTCTTAAATAAGAAGTGCAATCCAATTTCCTTTCACTGACTAATGTATCTAGTCAAGGATGCTGCTACCTTTAAATTTGGTTAGTTGGAGGGAATTTATTGGATAGGTGAGTGTCTCTATCAAAAGACTGGAGTATAAAACCTTTTTGTTTTCCATAGACCATGATTCCTAAAGGTGTTTTTTATTTATGTGCCAGACTTATGACAAGGAAAGCAATAGTGTTCTGCAGGGTTACAAGTCCTGAAACATAAGAAGAAGGCAGGGCCTCTGATTATATCTAGGCCAGGAAGATAATTTTTTTTTTTTTTTTGAAACAGAGTCTCGCTCTGTCGTCCATGCTGGAGTGCAGTGGTGCGATCTCAGCTCACTGCAAGCTCCACCTCCCGGGTTCACACCATTCTCCTGCCTCAGCCTCCCGAGTAGCTGGGACTATAGGCACCCACCACCGTGCCCAGCTAATTTTTTGTATTTTTAGTAGAGATGGGGTTCACTGTGTTAGCCAGGATGGTCTCGATTTCCTGACCTCGTGATCCACCTGCCTGGGCCTCCCAAAGTGTTGGGATTACAGGCGTGAGCCACCATGCCCGGCCAGGAAGACATTTTAGTAACCTTAGCATCATTCTTTTCTGCCAGGATCCAGAAGCACCATCCTTGCACCTACATAAGGAAAATACACTGCTGGGACCCAGCAAGGTATAGATCAGGGGTGTCCAATCTTTTGGCTTCCCTGGGCCACATTGGAAGAAGAAGAATTGTCTTGGGCCACACATAAAATAAACTAACACTAATGATAGCTGATGAGCTAGAAAAAAAAATCACCAAAAAATATCATAATGTTTTAAGAAAGTTTATGAATTTATGTTGGGCCACATTCAAAGCCATCTTGGGCTGCATGCAGCCTGCAAGCTGCAGGTTGGACAAGCATGGTCTAGATCATGCAGAGCCCAGTAGGCTGGGCATCAAGAAACCTGGCCTACCACCCCACTTTCACCTCTCACCCACACCAGGACTTCACTGTGACCTGGTCCCATAGCTTCATTCTACCTGTAACTCTAGCCCTATACACAGGAGGAAGATAGGATATTTGAAGTGCCGTATTTTCTTCTCAGTTTCCTCGAAAAAAAAAAAAAAGGTGAAAATTACTTTCTGAATGGAGTATGTTATTGCAGGGCAGGGAAAATTTTATTTTCTTGACCTATGCCTGAGGCACCTCTAATAAAAGACAAATTAAAAAGGGAAATCCATACAAATATGTTTAATATAAGTTTTACGTCACACAAGATCCCTTAGAAAGGGAGACCCAAAGAAGTGGTGAAAGCTGTGGATTTTTATGCTAAGTTTGTTAAGGAAATGGAGAGTAGTGAATTGTGATTGGACAAAGAGGTTATAACTGAATGGTAATAAACTGGGGGAAACTTAGCCAGGGCAGTTTCTTCAGATTTTTCTTTGTGTCCCTGTAACTTTGGAGGTAAAGATGTTTCTTTCTTCTGGGTATAGGGTGGGTACCTCTCACATGACGGTCTTATGACATACTTCAAAAGAGGGTCAGTTAGGTTTTATGACCTGCTTCAGGGGAGAAGGGTGAGGGGAACGTGAGAGTGACTTTCTTGTTTTGGGGGTTTTCTTAAATGCAAAGGTGCCATATTTTGGGGTGGTGTGTCCTGAATCCCATTATTACCAAAGACTCTGAAATCATGCAAAAATTTGGTCTGATATAATTCACTCCTATACCTTATAATGAACATGTCAAGAAATGCAGCTACTCCATTGGTTAAAATCTAACTGCCATTCTCAGGCCCCTATTCACTGTTGGTTCTGGGAACTCTCAAGTGACAAAAAAATTCAGACTTGATCTTTTACTCCAGATGACTGAACAGAGAAAGAAAGCCTATATCGAAAGCTTCTCAACAATACCAACACTTCACGTTTCTTACACAATACCCTATTCCAACCTAGTGCTTCATAGATAACTTCTACATCCATTCTCCATTCTCTTCACTCAGTCCTACCAACAATGCTCTGAGGTATACAGAGCAGGTATTACTTATTTATTTATTTTTTTGGGACAGGGTCTTGCTCTGTTGCCCAGGCTGGAGTGCCATGGTGTGGTCATGGCTCACTGCAGCCTTGATCTCCCCAGGCTCAGGTAATCCTCCCATTTAAGCCTCCTGAGCAGCTGGGACTACAGGCACACACCACCATGCCTAGATAATGTAGCTAGACACGGGCTCTCACCATGTTGCCCAGACTGGTCTTGAACTCCTGGACTCAAGTGATCTGCCCACCTTGGTCTCCCAAAGCGCTGGCATTACACAGAATGGGTATTATTAGCCCCATTTTTAGATATAAGGAAACTGAAGCTCACAAAAGTTGGGGAACTTAAAAGCAAGGTCACAATGTTAGTAAATGGTAGAGCTAGGACTTGAATGCTGGTCTGTCTGACTCTAAAACCTATGTTTCTGTTTTCGATTTTCCCGTGTCATGGATTTCTGTCACTGGCATAGGCTCTGGGGCTTCCCAGTATTGGGTGTGGCCCAGGTCTGTGGTTATGTGGACACCTTACCTATAATTGGAGGATAGTAATAATGATGAAAAATCCTCTAAATATATTCCAAGAAATGGCTAAAGTTGTTCAACAGAAAACTGACATTCAATTTTAACTTAGGTTTCAGGTAGTATTTCAAGTGGCAGTAAGCCAATAGTGGGATGATTTAAATTCTTTGGTCTGCCAAGTAAGAGTCAATTAGTAACCATACGAAAGCACTGCATGTCAAATTCTATGGAAGAGGAGGCTCCCAAGTAGGTCCAGCCTGCCACTTGCTGCCTGCAGGATGTCCCTTAACCCTGGCTCCAGAATTCAGATTATTGGGTCGACTACAAAATCTTTGGTAATTCCTACATTTAAAAAAAATTCTGATGTTTAACCATCTGATCTTTGGCAAAGTTGACTCCCTATTCAATAAACAATGCTAGGATAAATGGCTAGCCATATGCAAAAGATTGAAACTGGACACCTATCTTTCACCATATATAAAAATTAACTCAAGATGGATAGATTAAAGACTTAAATATTAGACTTCAAACTATAAAAATCCTAGAAGAAAACCAAGGAAATACACTTCTTTTTTTTTTTTTTTTTTTTTTTTGCCATTCTAACTGGTGTGAGATGGTATCTCACTGTGGTTTTGATTTGCATTTCTCTGATGGCCAGTAAAAACCCTAGAAGAAAACCTAGGCAATACCATTCAGGACATAGGCATGGGCAAGGACTCCATGACTAAAACACCAAAAGCAATGGCTGGAGACAAAAGCCAAAATTGACAAGTGGGATCTAATTAAACCAAAGAGCTTCTTCACAGCAAAAGAAACTATCATCAGAGTGAACAGGCAACCTACACAATGGGAGAAAATAATTTTCAATTTCTTATGCTTTATATCTTTGCTCACCTCCCATCCTCCCATCACAAATATTTAAGGATTCCTTGGACCCCTTCTTAACTCACTTCCACAATCTACCTAGATAACTTTAACTATTGTCATGGTTTCAAATAATATCACTATCTGATACATCTAAGTGTGTCACTATTCCTGGCTTTTATCCAGAAATTTTCATTTGAGTTGAAAACCTCAAACTCACTGTCTTACTCCTTAAAACTTTTTCTTTGTCTTTAATCTATTGCAGCATCACCATTCCTCTGGTAACCTGTGAGAAATCTGTCATCTTGATTCTTCCTTCTTTCTCATAAACTTGTTCATAGAGCAGTCAAATTCTTCTATCTAGCCTTTTTTTTTTTTTTTTTTGGTCCATTTAAAGATATCTTTCCCCCTCATTTTTTACACTGATCTATTTCAGGCCTTTATCACTTTCAGTAGTCCCCTATCTGGTTAGCCAGCCACAAATCTCTTCTTGAATTATTTGTTCACAAGGATCTCAAAGCTACCTCTCCAAAATGTATGTCTATTTATTTTTCATTCATTTCATGTATACAAAAATATTTCTGGAACATTCACTATGTATCAGGAATTGTGACAGACGTTGGAGATGAAGTGATAAAGAGGACAGGGTTGACTCCTTTCCCTATGGAGTCTCTATTGTAGTGAGGGAGATAGACAACAAATAAGCAAACACTAATAAAATAAATAAATATGATAAGTTCTTGGAAAAAACTAAACAATAGACTGAGATAGAGTGTAACTAGGGAAGTGAAGAGAGGTATATATTCTAGGCAATGTTCTCTGGGAAGGCCCTGAGGAGGGATATTTAATTTAAACCCTAAAAGAGAAAGAGAAGCTAGATCTATCATTCAGAATTTGTTTGAAGAAATAGAATCACTAGGACTGATATATAGGGTTTTCTTATAGGAATTTGATCTCACATAATGGTCAGGGATGATTACATAGCCTATATAAGGCTTCCATCTTTGCATCTGGTGCTGGAGGTTGAAGTCAGCAGAACAGGAATTTAGGAAGGGTATGTGGGTGTGACGTGTGGAGAACAAGGAGAGCGTGGAAGGTGAGAATGGATTAGAACTTGCACCAAGTATCTCACTCCCTCCAGGCTATCAACCTCAATGATTCAAATGAACTTCAGGATAAATTTGGACCTTTGTCATGAAGATCTACGTGTACATAGTTCAGGAGTTGAAGAAATCAAAGGAGGATGTGGTAGTTCCTGCAGGAGCTATAGGCTCAACTGTTGTTCTTTGCTAACAAGATGAGCTAGCCAATGAGAACACAACTGTGTGAACCACAATGGTACCTGTATCACAGTTCCCTTGAACCAACTTTCCACATGTGAAAATAATATATCTGTTACTCCTCTCTGCCTTTCAGATCTCATTTCAAGTATCTCTTGTATTCACTACTAATTTGGAACTGAGGCAAGGAAGAGAATTCTGGGAAATCTGATTACCACTTACCTAAATTGGCACAATACTAGTCAGGCAAGTAGTAGGGAAGAGTGCATTGTAGGAATTGGGACTAATATGTGTGAAATCCTTGAGGCATAATAGCACTTGGTGTGTTTGATGAATTGAGAATTAAAGTGACTCTATAACAGTAAAGGGGCAGGAGAAGAGCAGGAAATGGTATTACAGAGATAAGCCAGGTAGAGATTGCACAGTGTCACAGAAGTTACACAGATGGCAAATTGTAAATGTGTCCTTCAAAATCTTCTGTTTTTCCCCACATTAAGCCCAAGTTTCTTGACTTTGGATCCTAACTGCAAAAGGAGTTATAACATTTAAAGCAATGATTCTGAGCTCAGAATGTACATTATAGTCACCTGGAGAGGTGCTTAAAATCCGATTCTTGGGCCACAATGCCAGAGACTGTATTTTCAATTGGCCTTAGCTATGTTCCTGGTATCTATTAAACTAGAGATGAGCTCACATCATGATGCTCCTGTTTATTTCAGTGTTTTCATAAGCAATTAGTCATACTTTTCCTTGGGTCCTAGAAGATGGAAACATAAGACAGTAAAGATAGATCTAATTAGTTAAAGATAAACTATTGAGTGTTTTTGTACGGTAATATACTAAAATTTTGCTAACACCTTCTTGTATTCTTTTTTTTACATACTTTAAGTTCTAGGGTACATGTGCACAATGTACAGGTTTGTTACATATGTATACATGTGCCATGTTGGTGTGCTGCATCCATTAACTCGTCATTTACATTAGGTATATTTCCTAATGCTATCCCTCCCCCGACGCTCCCCACAATAGGATCCGGTGTGTGATGATCCCCTTCCTGTGTCCAAGTGATCTCATTGTTCATTTCCCACCCATGACTGAGAACGTGCGGTATTTGGTTCTGTTCTTGTGATAGTCTACTGAGAATGATGGTTTCCAACTGCATCCATGTCCCTACAAAGGACACAAACTCATCCATTTTTATGGCTGCATAGTATTCCATGGTGTATATGTGCCACATTTTCTTAATCCAGTCTGTCACTGATGGACATTTGGGTTGA